GCTATATAAGAATCTTAGATTGGTGGAAGAGAGATCGTTGAAAATATGAACTCAATGTACAGCTGTTCTAAAAAAGATGATAAACTGGGAGATTGATACAGATCTATGATGTAATTGCGACCTGACCACAACATACAGTTTTGGTCACAACTATATTGAAAATAATATTGTAGAATAGATGAAAATGGGAAAAAAAGAGGATGAACCAAATATTGATGCTGGAAGTAATTATCTTACGAGGCAAAGTTGCAATGCTGAGAGAAGGAATACAGAATGGGGATGTACATCATTTTGCAGCACATGTGAGAAGTAGGAGGAAGGAGTGCCTGACCCATAGCATTAGATTCTTCTATAACACTAAATAATAAGGGATAAATGAAAGGAAGTGTTTTTCCAAAGGGATTACAGGTTCATTGGCAAATGCATCACCACATTTAGTATTACCTTGTTAGCTTTGTGAAAACTGGAAAGCTATGAAGGAGTCAGAACTGGTTATATACCTCCTGAAAATGTGTGGTCTAAATGGAAAAGTGAAAAGTGAACAAGATGGAACAAGGAATTCAGTAATAACATTGTTAATTTCAGTGTCATTTGCAACTGCTACAGTTCCTCTGCACTAATTTAGCTGCGGTGAGATTTATTCCTATTTTGAAGAATTTCCAAAGCTCCTGCAAAATTTCTGCTTAGAAAATGGCATGCAGATTAGAGGAATTATTATTGCAACTTCAACTTTTGTTGCTAATTTAGTCTACGAAAAAGCTTCTGTTGAGCAAATTACAGAATAATTTGAGGTGGTGTGTGAGTGCCTGCATGGATGCTATTTGTGACTGTCTTCTCATAGCAATTGAACCCAAGCAATTGAGTCTATCAAAAGATGGAACTGTTACCGTATAAACATTCCAATTCTAAAGTTAATGTCTACTGTTTTTCTAAGCCACTGTTTTTCAAACTTGGCAACTTTAAGCTGGCTGGGAAATTCTGAGAGTTGAAGTCCACATATCTTAAAATTGCCAAGTTGGAAAAGTATTGATTTAAACTGTCAGGTTTTTTACTTTATTCCCTCTGGTGGAGCTGTCAACTCTCTTGTATCTATTGCTTGGAGGCCTTTACTAACTATTGCATGAGATAGCTGTTACAAATGGATAAGTAAGTGACCCATTGATGTGCATCTTTGTCATCAACATACTGGAATCCGGCATTTTTTCCCCTATACAATCTCGCTGTAACCAGATAAAAGAAGAAAGTACATTTTTGGGGGTATAGCATGAAGACTTAATTCACAAATGGATCAACGTAGGAAGTTTGCTATCGGGTGACACCATGTCAAGCAGTCCTCAAGTGACAGCCATTACATGTACTGGCTGATACAATGAATGATACATTATAAATTACCAGTTTATGATGTGGGAAAGGAAGATGCCCTTTAATTATTGTTGATCTGCCTCATGTGTGGGTCCAGATCAATAGGACATTTCCCCCCTAATTATTAACATGAGAGGTCTTTTATGACAGGCCAAGTTCTGATGCTGCTTTGTTTATTATGTTCTTCTCCGTTTAACTTCTCTTTCAATCCAAATCTTTCACTCAATAATGCTTTAGTTGGGCAATGGGTAACAAGTGCGTTGGTTTTCTAAAATATTATGCAACTTTGTATTTGGCAAATAATTTAACAATCGGTTCTCTGCCCTAATGACCGATGGGTGGGCATGGCCATTATGAACGTGGCCAGGGGCAGCACTCAGCCTCCTGTACCTCCTGGGAGCAAAAACGGGCCGTGGAGGGGGATTGCGCCACCCCCACATCTCGTTTTGGGCCTAGTAGGCCTCCCTGCAGCCTCTTGGGAGCAAAAACAGGCCGTGCGGGGGGGCGCCCTGCCCCCCCCACACCCCATTTTGGGTTTCCTACCCTGAAGCCTCCTGGGAGTGAAAACAGGCCACGGGGGGACTCCTGGAAGGGGAGGGAAGGGGAGGGGCCAGCCAGCAATTTAACTACTGGTTCACCCAAACTGGCCCAAACCGGCTGAATCCCACCACTGAACAAAGCTATCCGCATCTTTAAAATTCTGCAACAGTTCCTCATTTTATTAGCAGATTGCATCTAATGCATTAGCATGTGGGATGCATCAATAACCACATTTGATCATCCAATAAAACCCACCATTTTGACATCATTGATGGCCTCTGTGGACATCTCTGCTTCGGAAGCCCGCCCAATTAACTATGGTTCCTGCTCCAAAGAAAATGCTGGAAACTAAGTGGTTTCTTGTTGAAGAAAACTCCCACCTCATTTCTTATTTCTCTTCTCTCTTTTAGCTTAGGCACAGTTCCCATTCATCAGATATTCCCTGCCCCCACTCATTTTTCCCACAGTATGAAAACAAGTATTAGGAGAAAATAAGGTTGGGTCATTAGATGATTGCAATTTTTTTTTCATCCTCCCATTGACAAAATCTTTGACCAACAGTGAGGACATCTTTATTGCTCTGGGAGTATAAATAAAATGAAATGAAAGAAGCACATTTGCAGATCAATGCAAAAACCACAGGATTGTAAGTGAAGGGAATGCCTCTGAAATGGTGGGCGTGGCAAAGGAGAGTAAAGCGGTATTTGCTGATGGTCTTGAGTAACTTCCCATATTGAGAAGAAGTCTAATACCAAATCAATCAGCAGATGTAGACTGCCTGCCTCCACAAAAGAGAATTTCTTCCTCCTCTTTACACTAAAAAGAACCCCCAATAAAACAAACCAGTGTATGCATGTTGAGTATAAAGTCTCATTTCATTGAGAGAAGTGAGTACTTGCTGGCATTCTTCTGTTGTAACTTTAATCTTCATTCTAACAGATGTTACTTATCAGATCTTTGAGAAATTTGTTCTTATTAACAGCGCATTAACTGTTCCCAGTCCAGATTTCTAGAAGAAAAGTCTAAAAGTAGCTGACATTTGACACAATTTTTTTTCAGCGGCAGGCACCAAGGAACACTTTGATTGCACATCACTGCTAGGTTTTGCAAGTTAGACACAATGGACTGTCAAGAAACTTCAGAAACTTGTATAGCTTTTGTCCGGCAACATTTCAGAGAAAGTAGTTCAGAATTCTCTGAGCAGTAGGTTAAACTGGGAAATAAAAAAGAAAGAAAGAAAGAAAATAGCAAGCAGTCATTAAGAGTCAGGTTTGAGTTCAAGATATTTCACTTTTTTTTTTCTTTACAAATAGTAGTGACAGAGTTGTTGGCTAGCACATTGCAGACCGGTAATAAAATTGCCGACCAGATCCATAGATCTGAAGGTTGCCACCGTGAAAAAATTAGGTCAGGGATGTCAAACTTAAGGCCCACAGGCCGGATCCTCTGGCAGCCAAAACAGTGGACATGGGGACCGTGCACGGCCCCCTAAGCCCCATTTTGGGCCTAGACGGCTGCCTGCAGCATTCTTCCAGCCCCCTATGCCCCATTTTGACCAGCAGAGTGCTGCAGGAGGCCATGCAGGCTGAAAACGGGGCGTGGGGGGGGCTCACATGGAAGAAAATTACAATGCTGATCTGGCCCTCGAAGAAATCCAGTTTGACACCCCTGGATTAGGTAACTGAGCAAACTGATTAACAGGGTGGGGTCTTTTTTTTTCTAATATGAAACCGGTATTCCTCGATTTACGACCACAATTAAGCCCAAAATTCCCATTGCTAAGTAAGACAGTTGTTAAGTGAGTTATGCCCCATTTAATGAGCTTTCTTGCCACAGTTAGGTGAATCCCTGCAATTGTTAAGTTAGTAACATGATTGTCAAGTGAATCTGACTTCCCCATTAACTTTGCTTGTCAGAAGGTCACAAAAGGTGATCACATGATTCTGTGGGATACTGCAACCATCATAAATCTATGCCAGTTGCCTAGCATCTGAATTTTGATCATGTGACTATGGGGATGCCAAAGGAGCCGTAAGTGTGAAAAATGGTCATAAGTCACTTTTCTCAGACCTGTTCTAACTTTGAATGGTCACTAAATGAAAGCTTGTAACACGAGGATTACCTATAGATGATGTTCTCAATTCCTACTTTGGTTGAAAGTTTTAGGGATAATTGATTTGTCTTCCATGTTCAGATGGAACTCTCTGAGAAGGTCTATGGAGATTCTCAGTCATCCAGGTCATGATTGTCCCAAAGGTGCTGTTTTTTTCAAGAGGCAAGTGGACTTTCTGGTTTTTCTTTGAAGATGTTTTGCTTCTCATCTAGGAAGCTTCTTCAGCTCTGACTGGATGGTGGGGAATGGAAGGATTTATACTCTCTGAGAAGTAAACACACATAGTGTCCCTTCTCTATTTTGTTTGGGTCTCTAGTATTTGAGGGGCTGCCACAAAGAGAAGGGGATCAACTTATTTTCCAAAGCAGCAGACACAATGGATGGAAACTAATCAAGGAGAGAAGCAACCTGGAATTAAATTAAACTTCCTAACACTGAGGACAATTAACCAGTGGAACAGCTTGCCTGCAGAAGTTGTGGGTGCTTCATCACTGGAGGTCTTTAAGAAGAGACTGGACAGTCACTTGCCTAAAATGGTATAGGGTCTCCTGCTTGAACAGGGGGTTGGACTAGAAGACCTCCAAGGTCCCTTCCAGGCCTATTCTACACTGTTATTAGAATCTACACAATTGCTAGTTCTTTGGCCGTGCAAGAGTTGAAAAGCGAAATAATTTAAAACACTGGGTTTGTTTTTTTTTTAAGACATAAAAGAGAGAAGACAGAGGACGGTACAAAGGAGGATTAAATTAAGTTACTAGCCGTTTCCAGCTCCTGTGCCTTTCCTCTGGGTTACAGAAAGAAGCGTAGCGCTTAAACAGCAGCTTTGATATTGCCTTGAAAGGGGCTGGCAGCCATACAGCCAGTTGATAAAAGGGGTGGGGGAAACCAAGAAGCTTGAGCTGTGCTGCAGCTTTTAACAACTGCCTTCTCTTGCACTCTGAAATGTTGCCGCCTGGAACTTGGAAGCATCTGGGGGGGGGGGGTGAACCCTTTAAGTCTTCCAACTCGTGCTGCCAGTTGCAGCCCAAAAAAGGAACCTTCAGTTGTATGGCTGTCAGCCAAGACCATTCAGTTTAGCTTCTTGTGATTTTTATGGATTTCCTGGGCGAGAGAAACAAAAGGCTGCATCTGAAAGACGAGCATGCCACCCATGTGGGAGGATGACTGCACTCTTTCCAGCGTGGCCTGAGTTGGATCACAGCAGGCTGTGAAGGATCTCCTCCCGTTTGCGATGCCAGCAAGAGGACCCATGGGCGGCTTGGTTCCTGCTGCTCCTTCTCCAACCGGCTCCTCCTTTTTTTAATGCCTCCGTGTAGAACTTTTGCCTTGGCTCTCTCTCCCTCATGGAAACCACTTTGACGGATCCTGTGATGCTTTCCCTTGTAGAGCGGTGGGAGAGACTTTCACACCTTACCCTGGTTCCGAATTCCTTTTGACGTTGAATCTCCTGAGTGGTCGGAGCTGGATGTTGAGGTGGTGGTTGCTTTTCAGTGGGAGTGTTATGTTTGCCAGGTGTCAGAGCAGTGGAGGACTTTGTTTTCTTGAAGTGGAGGAGTGTATCTTTTGTGCTGTGTAGTCCTTGTTTCCTTGCGAGAAACGGCCTGGGAGCAAGACTGCTGTAACGTGATTCCAGTGCCAGCCAAGGAAGAGAGAGAGGAGCGCCTTTTGCTGTTTAGCTGAATGCTTTGATAGATAATAGCAGACATGCTTTGTGGGCTGAAAAAGGATTTGCAGTCTGGTTTTGGTGAGTAAAGACGGACTGTATTCCTTGACCTCCTCTTCCTTTTCAATTTTATTTTTAAAGAAACTTGATCCTTTAAACTTACCCGATTTACACAGGGATCACACAAAAAAGAAAGGTGTGGATATCAATTTTGACAGAAATCTTGGAACATTTTTCTTGTCTGTTATGCTGTGACTTTCATGCTTGGTGTGTGTGTGTGTGTGTGTGTGTGTGTGTGTTGTATGTGTTTTCTTGCATGTAATTAATTTGACTTTGTAACCTTGGAAACTATGGGCTTTTGCACTGAGTCTCTCTTTAAAGTCTCTTCTGCATCTTTCATGAATTATAGAGGTTTTATTTGTAGCTGTGTACAATTTGTATTTCTCTTGTCAACTCTACATGGTTTTTCAATGAAAGGAGAGAGGTCTCTTTCTTTCTTTCGTAGTATATTTGTACGTAGTAAAACAGCATGCTAAATATAGATGGACTCTATATACTACATACACACTCTAGTATGTGCTTGAAGGTGTTAGTGATTTTAAGGTCTAATGTAATGAATCATATTAATTATTTTAATGCAATAGAAAACTGCCAGTATCCTAAAGGTTTATTCCACATATCAGAGATAAAAGGTACCCTGGCAGGAAATCCAGTGTGTATATCTATCTCCCCATTTTAACTTCGCTGCAACCTCTGTTTTGCTGTCAGTACACATGGTGCATTTATTCCCATCCTTATTTCTTCTTTTTCTTTTTTCCCTAGGGGGAAAAAATCACAGATGGCTGAGGAGATTATAACATTATTATTAATAAAGTTAATAAAAGGGGGTTAATGACAATAAACCACAACTTAGCTCACTTTTGTCTATGGAGAGAGATAATTTTTAGCAGCCTTTCCCCCCCCTTTTCTCCCCCAATTTTGAGTTTCACATCTGCAATATGGAAGTTGGACTTCTGGCTTAAGCAACCTTAATCCAAACACCTCAACAATTTGAGGCAGCAGCTTATTTCCAAGAGCTGTCTGTGGGGAGGCTCTTGTGACAAAATCAGCACATTTTCTGGGTGGAGTCATGAACACTAAGATATAAATTTTTATGGACTAATTTATAAAATACCTTTGCGGTTCTTTGGATCCTTATAGCTTCATCCACCTGGTTCTTCCATGTGTGTCCAATACAACTGGACAGCAAATTGCAGCAGATTGATCTATCTACTCTATTGATTGAGGATAATGCTTCATACAACTGAGGAAGGACAGTTTATCTCACAAAATAAACTTCATGTTATAATATAACTATCTCTAAGATGCTACAAGATTGTGTTAAGTTTGGAAATTTAACATCTTCTTGACCTGTTGGTCTAATCCGATTGGGGCAAATGAATAAGTGTTTCCATGTCCATCCTCTTAATCCCACTGTATATCGTTAAAAAGCAGTTTTGACATAAATGTCAATTCTATCTGCCTGTATGTTCCCTTGAGATTACCTGTGAGTTAGGCCAATTACTCAGTTTTATGCGAGAACTTTCATGTCTTGTAAATTTAGTTGATAGGAAAAAAATGGTGAAACTCTCAGTAAAATGAGTTGGCAACAAATGTTGCTACTGGAACCTTCAATAAGTATTTCTTTATGTATTGGAATATTTATTTAAAGGATAAAATTGTTCAATGCAAGTGCAAAGAAGTAACTTATTCTGTGCTTTCCTCTTTTTTTAATCAATGTTATGTTCCCATGAAAATGATATTTATTTATTTATCATATTTAAGAGCATATTGACTATTCCAGATGAATTTTGTGAATATATGATTACAAATAAGATTGCTTAAACTATACATATTTTGCACTGAGCTCTTAGAATTTTTATTTTTGTGAACTGATTTTTGTGTGTTAATCCACAGACAAAAAGCAATCATCACTATTATACAGTTTTTGCTACCTTTGAGATAGAATGATTTGGAGTTTGGAATTTAAGAAGTTACAAACAGTCAAACAGACATGCCCAGCCTCAAGACCCATATTAGACACACAATTCCTAAAGCTGGACTTTGTTAGCCCTTTAATACAAAATGTAGAGATAAAATCCGAGTTGGGAAGAAATGAGCGTAGCATCTGGAAATGTTGGCAGTCCATAAGAGATAAAGAAATATTAGAACTAAGCATTCCAGAGATAAAGAAAGAAATGGAAGTGTGTAAAATTATCTCTTTAATTGGAAAATAGTATATATACTGTCTCTCAATTGAGCTGCCTTGTGAATGAGAAAAGTTGACAATAATATATAGAATCTGGATTGTGAGTGTAGCCATGTGATATGAATAGGGAAGTAGAGTTTAAACTCTTTGTAATCTACCGATCTGTTCACACTGTTACTTTAGTTTTATGCCTCTAGTTTCACATCTGCTGTTGAGGAATTTGAGATCCAAAAATTCAAAACCTGGATCTAAATTTGCTGACCTGAGCTGATAAACTCAGCTTATCCTAGATACTGTGCTATAAATTATACAATGGAGATATAGAAATATTAAGGCTTGCTGTGCTAAACTCGGTCTTTGCAACAGTTGCACCCAACTGATGATTGTATTAGCAAACTATGATAAAATATGTGCTTTGCCCAATTGCATTATTTTTTTCTCACCAAGGTATTCAAGCCAGAATGACTCTGAGAGGCAGCCCTGGCATATGAAATTATTATGGATGCTGCTAGCTAGAGGGGCAAGAAAGAAGTGCTTCAGCTGGTCAGGAAAGAAAGGATGCTCTGGTGTCAGTGTGATCTTTATTTAAGCTCCTAGGGGAAAGAAGTAGAAGGAGGAGAATGCCTATTAAGGTGTAAATGACAAAAATATATGAAGAAAGGAGAGAGAAAAGGGTGGTTTGAACATAATGGTGCTAACAAGGAGAGGCAAGAGATTGTTGAATGAAATAATAATAATAATAATTCCAGAAAATAAAGAGTAGAAGAAACAGATCAACAGACTATGTTTTGAAGGAATCTGGTGGTGGTAGCCAGAAGGGCATGTGCCATAACATCCTGGGGGAGAATAGATAGGGGAGAAAACTGATTCTTGTTCCAGTCTGTTTCCTCTAGAGTTATCAGATCCATTGGTCACTTGCCTCCTTCAGAGAAAAGCCTGTTTTGGCCTTTCTAAGTGAGGACTTTCTCAAACTATTCGATTATATCAAAGAACTTCACAGGATGAAAAGCCACTATTAAAACATGGATTTAGTTGAACAGAAGAGAATCCTAGGAATAATAGGCTCCCAAGTAGAATTCATTATGGGGAAATACGCAGTGTTCCAAAAATAATGAATTCAGAGGAAAGGGCTTGAAAAGAATCCAGTGTATGAATATATGTATGCATTTGATATATAGCCGTAGACCAAAAGAATAAAAATCAGTGAAATTATGTAGTAATTAGAGAGAAGTAAAACATAAAAACAGCAGCATGTAATGTGCAGCGAAAGCCAGCGCGATGCAGGCACATCAGACTTCAGCAGAATAAAGAATGTTCAGGAATGATCAAGAAACTTTGTTCATAGTGATTCATGTCCTGGTCACCTCCCAGTTGGAATCCTGTAATACTGTCTAAATGGGACTGCCCTTGAAGAGTATCTGGAAGCTTCAGCTCATTCAGAATGCAGCGGTGCAAGCAATTATGTGTGCCCCTAGAACAGCAGATATTACACCTCTGTTCCGTTAGCTGTATTGGTTGCCAGTCTGTTTCCAGATTCAATTCTAGATGTTGTTGGTTTTGACCTTTAAAGCCCTTCATGGCATAGGTCTGAGTCATCTGAGGGGCTGCCTCTTCTTCATTATAGAAGAAGAGACAGACCCCTTATACTTGTCCCATAGATCCAGTAGAAGTGGTATGTTGTGGGTCCTGCCTGCTAAAGAACTATATCTGTTGGGATCCCAAATATGGGTTTTTTTCTACTGTGGCACTTGCATTATGAAACATCATTCCTCCCAAGTCAAGCTGGCTCCATCCTTGCTAGCGTTTCATAAATTTCTCAAGATTTGGCTATATCATCAGGCTTGGGGCTTCCAAGGAATTGGACTTGTTGAACTGGCTCCACAGTTGGTAATATCTGTTGCTCTCTCCTTGCCTTTTTTAATCGTAATCTATTCTTAATTGTTGATTGTTTTCTAATGTTATTTTTAAAGTTTTTATTGTGTGCTGCCCATATTTTGTGACATAGGTGGCTAAATAAATATGATGAATGAATAACTAAATAAATAAATTATGCAGGATGTCAATATTTCATATACAGATTGGTGGAAAAGCTTGGCAAAAAGCAGTCAATAAACATAAAAATGAATGCAGTGGAAGAGCAAAAAAAATAATAATAATCAAAACTTAGCTGGATATAGAGCAACCCTCCTGGTTTCTTTCTTTCTTTTTTTTTTAACCCTCCTGGTTTCTAATACCCCAAGCTACAGCTAAGTATTTTACAACCTTCTTAGAAACTTCAGTATGTTGCACCTGCAGCAGATGATCTATAACCTCCTATTGTAATAGACAGGAAAGGGAAATGGTTCACTGAGATCAAAGTATAAGGTGTGAAAAAAGGGGGGCATTGTGGTAACACACGTGCTACAGGCCAAATATTGTTGCCTGAGCACATGCAAAGGTGATCCTGGCAGGAAATACTGTGATATGTACTTATAAGAGTTACTGAGGGCAGAATATCAAATTGCCCCATGAAGGAGGGAGGGAGGGAGAGAGAGAGAGAGAGAGAAGGTAAACTATGCTTGTTGACAATCAGTAGCAACTATGGATGTACAATGCAACTGTACTTTCGGGATTTTGTTTAATGAAATAATTGAGACAAAGGCAAGGGAAGACCTCCTCATAAATATAACCCTGAAAGAAAATAATTTTTTCTGCTTTCAATAAGAGACCTGTTCTTGAAGCTTAACTGAGTAGTAGTGATTATTAGGGAACTACTACTGTATCTTCATTCTATCCTGAGGATGCAGCATACAACTCCTTTGTGGGACCTGAGTAATGCAAGTACTTTGAAACT